ACAAACGATGACCCCTGTACTACGAGAATGATGGGCCTTGGGGTTTTATGGGCGGGCTAGGGCAAACGGTGTGTAACATACTCTGCAAAGAAGGAACGCCAAAGTTTTGAATTAACGCCATAATCTTGTTTAAGTGCACCGACGGCCAGTAAAAACTCGAGCGCATAAGCTACGAAATATGAAAAATACGAAATAAATCGATCAGTCTAATTCCTCCAGCCGGCAAAATAATCAACTTAAAAGCAACTAAGACCATGTTCATGGAAAGAATACAAATATCAAAAACTAAGGGGAAGCAGGACGCATAACAACTACGTATAACAAATGGAAATAAGGTGAATAGCGTTCCAGAAAGCGGCAAGTGCAAACTAGTAGTAACCACAGGGGTCGTTGTCATATCTCTTCTTGAACTACTATTTATCCTTAAGCTTCGTCTCGAAACCCTGATCTTATAAACCTAAACCATCTACCCGTATCCTAAATCCCCGAGTCCAACCCCGAAATGCAACCTTAACCACAAATACTTGGCAGTAACCCTTAACCGTCACCCCAAGCCGAACGCTAACCCGCCATTGACCGTCTTGTCGTTCGAAACCTGAACTTAGATTCCTACTAAAATGGTATGAGTAGGTATTTTATAAAGTATCGACCAAATGGACCACACATCCAATCGTTGCCGAGGTCTCTTCTCCAGTTTGCCGGTTCAATTTATTTCTGCTTGAGCCCAACCAGATAGTTACCAATCATAAACCGTTTGTGACCTATTACTACTCCATAACACTATTGTCATATATGTTGCTCTCCTTTGACTCGGTTTCCAATTTATCAGAACACTGTAAAGTGCTTGTTTATTTTCGTCTTAGGCCCTTTTCAGCGGAGGATGAAACTAAGACTCTTGAGGAGCTGGATCTCTGGCCTTCAGCTGTCTTGCTTCTTGTTTCTCGTTCAAACGCCGGCCATAACTCGGTCTCTCCTTATGCCCAGGGCTCAGTGATTGGCTACACACAGGGTACTTCGCTTCTCCTAATTTCAAAAATTTAACCCTGAGTTCCATTTCATTAGATCCTGTTTGATGGGTGTACTTATACTTGCAGATGCTTTGTCTACACTGTTAACGTATGTCGGCTTGGGACTTCGCACTGGTGTTGACTTTGCCGTCTCCGTGGGCAACAGTGTCTATGTGGTCTGTCAAAGTCTCTTCACGTCCGTTTTCGGGGGTGCTCGTGGGCAAACAACAGGCAGATCGTCTTCTCCTCCCCCCACCAACTCCGATGGGCAATCATCGTCACCAAGACCTCATGAGACCGAAACTACGGCTTTCAGGCGCCAGGTAATTTCTTGTTCAA